ATTCAATCAGTTGAAGATCTTAAGAGCAAAACTGAGGTTTCCCAAAGAAGAAGCCATTCTGCCTTAGATTGCAACATAGAAGAAACCTTGCCTGAATTTCCTCCCTGCTGGCATGTAGATTTCAGACTCAAGACTGCAACATTAACTGTTACCTGAATTTCCAGTTTCCTGCTTGCCCCACACATTTCAGACTTGCCAGGACCCACAATTGTATGAGTCAAATTAAGTTCCCCCTCTATTTGCCTAGAGAACCCTGACTAATACAGGCTGCTTCACTTATCATGGTCCTAGGTACCAAATCTCAAGTGTGTTCTTTTGCTTCACTCTTTAGTTCTGGCATATCGCTCACCTGGATTTTTAATCAAGTCTCATTCCTTTCTCTTGTTCTACACTAGAGTTGGATTCTTGACTTCCCCAAAGATAATTAGTGTTAAAGGGTAATTTCAAAAATATAAAATCATGATTTATACAAATATAAAATAAACACACATCAGAGGTTTTATTTAACTCACATTAATGATTGAAAAAGTAAGATACTGGTTCAAAGGAGAATCCAAATAATCAGCGCATGTATAGGTAATCAAATGGATTTCCTGAAAGATGCAAAACTGAGCAGTACTCACAGGGAAATAAAATGTGCTGTGTGGAATCATCTTTTTTTCAATCAGTTGCGTCTCCAACCAGAAAAAAAATTCATTTGCATCTCTCTAGATAAAAAAATGGTTTGCATTATTATCAGTTTTCTACAACGTACAGGATTATAAAATAGCCCAAAGAGATTGCAAAGCATAGATCTTAATAGAATAGGATAATCCCTGGAGGTCTGCTAGACAACATCTAGCATTCCATTGAAAGGACACCTAGTAATCTTTTGCCTATTTTTTTAAAGTGTTTCACAATTTTTACAGAACATCCTGTTAATCAAGCAATATTAAGTTTGTTAAACTTACTGAAGTATAAGAGAAAACTTCCTTGACTGTTTCAAAATGGAGAAATTAAGGAAGGGTGTTTATAGGGTCGTTAGGGGTTTAGAGCCTGGAATGGGTGATTTTAAGGTGATTTTCAAAGCAAGAATCTGCTGCAGGTTGGGCAGAGTTTATGATGGAATGGCTTGGGATTGGTGAGCACAGCAAGGATGAGAATCTTGAAGTGAATCTTGACAATCAGACTATTTTAGTTGGCTTATCTTCTAAGAGCAAGTATTTCCTGCAGTGAGAAGCTAAATTTTTATGCCTAGTCCTAGTTTAAGGACCGGAAAGCATTCCTGGTGTCAGTATTACTTAACAGAGGGACAGGAAAATACGCCAGAGATAGGAAATTACATTGGTTTCAGTTCTCACGAGTATCGGATACCCAATTATGTGTATACATCCTTGCTTTATTTGCCTATTTTCAAGCAAAAATTCCTGCTCTGGCTGTTAATACTTGAACGCACTCCATTCTAAAATGGTTTCTTGCTCTGTGTTGGGATACACTCAGAACCCCATAGTTGGTATAAAGATTATTTTAAGCTGAAGACATTTGAGATTCAACAGATACAGAAAGGAGGCATCTCAGTATTTCCCGTATCTGACTAAAAGCAGAAACTTCTGAGAAATGAAGACTGCCATAAATTCCCTCTTGGAGGGAGGCTTCTACTCCCAGGAGAGAGCGACCAAGAGTAAACCTACCATAAATCTCTCTGGGTGAGTTTCATGACCACAAAGAGGACAGAAAGACCACTCACAGCTGCATAAACAAAATTATCACAAACTTTCTTATCTCTAATTTGTTCTTCTGAAACTCATTTATCTTTCCTAAAGAAACCTGTTTGTTCTTCCCATAGAAGCCCTTTCCCCTCTTCCTTTCCCCTACTAAGTTAGGTATATAAGCCCCAAATTCTAACTACCCTTTGAGTGCATCAATAAGCACTCCCTCATCTATGCACTTTGCACATGTAAATAAACTCTGGTTTTTTTCCTCTTGCTAATCTGTCTTTTGTCAGTTTAATTCACATGTCCTCAGACAGTAAACTCAAGAGGGTAGAGCAAAAGTTTTTCCTTCCCTACACCTGCAAACTGCAACGTGCTGTTACCTATATTGTATGAACCTGCCTTTCTCCTAAAATTCTAAGAAACTTTTTTGAGTAAATGTGTGCTTTGTGAATTCTTACTCCTGCAAAGAAAGAAATTAAAATTAAACTAGTTTGAACTTTTATATTTACCCTATCTCATACTTGTAGTTATATCTGCAGGTAAACCTGTCTACAAATTTTCTTAGGCAATTAAATTTGCAATTGCTTCTCAGTTCTGTGGTGCTCTAGAAAACAAATCATCTTAGCTGCACTTTTAGGCTAAATTCTCTAAAACATCACCTGAGAAATTTGTATAAAGTGCAAATTCCTGTGTCCCTCCTCCCCTCTCCATATATTCTGATTCACTAAGCGGGAGTCCAGGGGTTAGAATAAGCACCTCCCAGGTATGAAATTTAAGCATGCTACACTTTAGAAAGGCTACCCTAAAAAATACCAAAAATAACTAGACCAAATCTAGACATTTGGAAAAAAAAAGTCATCTTTTTTTAAAAATCTCATTTGATGCTCTTTTGAAATATTGGGGAAATTTATAATATGGTTGTAACCTTGGAATAAAATTTTTTCAGATCAGCATTTGCTGTATTCACATTAACATCTTTTTGAAATACTCAAGTGGCTATAGCTAGTCCTGGTTTGGAATACATACCTGTTTAATTTTATATTCACAACATAAAAGCATCTTGCCTATAGACCTGCTGAAACAGGAAACCAAGTTTATCACTTTATGTCAAGGTGCTGAAGAAAAGGTGTATTTTTTGTAATGCTAATGAAAGAAAATATACATTTTTTGTTATGTAAAAGTTGGTGTACGTATATTTTACTGATTCTTTCTGACAATAATGCCCCTTCCTTCTTCTTTGCTTGGTAATTCTTTCAAAAGTCACCTCCTGCTACCTTCTTCTTTGACTTTCATTCCCTTTCTTTGTTTCATCATAATCACTTTTTTATTTGTACTTTTTCATAGTACTCTGTGTTTGCATTATATATTTTATATTGTAATTAATTTGTTATATGTCTGCCTTCCCTGCTAGACTGTAAACCTCTCCAGGGCAGAAATCATGGTATAATTATTTTTGTGACCTCAGTCCCTAACTTATTATTCCATTCAGGAGTCATTTCATGATTTGATATCTCTATACATAAGCATCTCTACAGAATGCCAAACCAGCTTTGTGAATATAACCCTGGACTTCATCAGGCACCTTCCCTTAACAATGATAAGCTAAAGATTTTTGCATCCTAATAATTTCTGTTGATGACTGGATATGTGACTGTTTCATTGCTAGACTTCTTTGAAAACTGGTAAATTCTAAAAGACAATTAAGTTCCTGTTTTCAGATTGTAAGTTACTAATGAAGAAAATAAACAAAACAAAAAGTGCCATATAACAACTACCTAAAATAAAGGGATGATTGAGTGAATCATTTGTTTTCTTCTTCCTAATAAGATGGTGTTCAACAATATGGTGTTTCTGTCAGCTTAAATTTTCTAAAGGCTGCTTTGTCTGATTCTGCTGGCTAATGTTAGTGTTCATAAACTAGGCAGTGCTATTGTTGCTAGGGAACATAGTTACCTTCTGTTACTCCAATCAATTTTAGAAAAATAACCCATCCAGTATTAAATTTTACTTGTGAATCCATGTTCTACACATTTCAAGCCGAATAAAATCATGATAAATACTATGTAAAACATTATGATTGTGACTAGTATATTTCAGGATGTGTGAGTCTGCATTACTCGGACATCACTCCAATTTACTGCTACATTATGTTATGGGAGAGGTCAACCAGGAAATGGGCCAGGGCTTTTAAAAAATCCAGTGTTCAGCCAATTCTATTAGTTCCAAGTGCTTTGTTCTTTTCCTCTGTGAGGATATATCAGCTTAGCATAATAGGTCCAGTTTTCAAAAAGCTGCATTTGATTTATTTCTTCTGGAAATTCAGCTTTCAGCCTGAAAAAAAAAATAAGGTGCTTGTATTTAAATACCCTACACCAAACTGGCAGGTAGAATTATGGAATCAGAAAAGACTTCTCTTGGAGCCTGATTACTGAAGCACATTTTAAATAATAAACTGTGAAGGAGAATTAACATTTTCTTCCCATGATCTTGATGTCAAGAAGTAAGGGTACAGAATCTTAGGGGACCAAATACTCTGATTTCTTGAAAGCCTGCCTTAGAGGCTTTAATGCAGTCATTACTTCACAAGTGTGACTTCAAGTATATATGATTCAAGAATTTAAAAAAGGAGTAGGCAGTTTTAAAATGTATCAATCAAGGAAGTAGCAAAATACTTGTCATTAAACAGATAATCAGCATTGCAAAAATTGGCTTATGACATGCACAGAAATCCTATGCTATGGCCAAATAATATCATTGCCCAAACTGAACCCACTAGCATTTTTTTTTAATTCTCTGAAATTTAAAAGATAGTATTAAAGGATAATTTTACATGACTTTCATTCAAATGTAAAATGAACATGTGTCGAAGATTTTATTTAACTAATAAAACAGAGCCAGAAAGATGTTATTGATTCAAAGGCAAATTTGAAGGATAGAAATAGCTTACAAAATGGATTTACAAATAGCTTTAAAACTGGCTTTTTCCACAAGGAGAGGGAAATCAATTGTCTCTCCTCTGGACAGAATTCACTTGCGTATGGAAAAATCATTTGCAGTGTTTTCAGTTATCTACAACTTAGAACTGTAAAATAATTCAAAGACAATAAAAAGTGGAGATGATGCTGATGGGTAAACTCAATAGGATACCCACCAATATTTTTTTTCCTGACAATAGAATCTGTATATGCAAGAAATGGTTACTTTCATTAAGGTGATTTAAGTTTTCCCTTCTTCAAACATAGTCTTATAGATTGCTATTGTACTTCATAATTTTATTGTTAATTTGTATGTGTGGTTAATTTACAGAACATGCTCCAGTTCTTCCTGTGAGTGAATTGAAGACTAACTAGGAGAGCTTCTTATAATCCTTTAAAGAAGAACGTTTTTGTGGTAGGTGGAATTCTAAGATGGCCCCTAAGATTCCCGCCCTTTGGTGTGCACACCCTGTACAGTAACTTCCCCTTGATTGTGGGCGGGCTCTGTGAATATGATGGCAAAGGGATTTTGCAGATTTTGCTTGTGAGTTAATCAAAATAAAATTATCCTGAGTAGGCCTGACCTAATCAGGTTAGCCGTTAAAGGAGGTAAGAAGCAACTGTTGACCTTGAAGACAGCTACCATGAATTCAGTAGTCGCAGGGAAATGAAGTCTTCTAATACCACATGATCTTAGAAGAGAGTGTAGAGCCTCGGATGAGACTTCAGCCTTGGCCAACACCTTGAATTGAGTCTAGTGAGATGATAATGAGCGAAACCAGCTAATCCATGCCCAGACTCCTAACCCATGGAAAGAAATGAGTGTTTTCTTAAAGCTGCCAAGTTTGTGGAATTTTGTATACAGTAATAGAAAATTAATATACTTTCCTTTTTCTCTAAGAAGAATTGTCCCTTCCCCAAATAAATAAATGGATATAGGTAAATAAGTGAACAAGAAAGCAAACAAATAAGAAAAAAACCCACAGGAATAATTTCAGAACTTGGTTAGGATAACTACATGTTTTGAATAGCAGTTGACCCTCCTCCAATCAGATAAAGATAATAAGAATCTCTGGAAAAAATATGTATTTTTTGGAGGGTTTCCTGTCAGATTTGTTTCTGTGCAGTATGTTTTTCACGCACTATGATCATGTGTGCCTACCATTGTTCCCTAGTTCCTAGAATAGTACCTGGTACGTAGTGGATGGTAAGATAATATTTACTGAGTATAGAAAAGATGAGATGAATAAATAAAGAAGTGTGTTTGTTTGTTATTATTTAAGGATATTTTCTAGTCTTAATTCTTGTGTCTCTGTCTACATCAAATGTGGTTAATAAAATTCCTAAACAGTACACACTATGTGCAGTAGAATACCTAAGAGCAATTCACACAAGCCTGTGGCTCTGGCTTCCTGCTCATTATTATTTCTTTCTTTTCCTTTCCTGATGAACAGACTTCTATGTTTTCTGTCTTTTAAAAAATAGCTTTATTGAGATATAATCCATATATCATACAATTCACCAATGTAAAGTTACAATTCAATGGATTTTATTATATTCACAGAGTTGTGCAACCATCACTGTAATCTCTGTTATATTTTTTTAATTAAACAATAGATTTTACTCACTTCTGTTAATGTGATTAGGCACCTAGTATCCTTGTAAACCCACTATGTTGACTGGAAACTGCTGATTTCTTTTTGCTGAAAAATTTAGCTTTCTCTATGGCATTAGTATATCTAAGTTGAAAGTGTTTTCCTTAAAATGTATATGATCCTTACAATAGAATATTATTAGGCAATAAAAAGGAATGTGGTACTGATACATGTTACAACACAGATGAACCTTGAAAACAGCATACTAAGTGAAAGAAGCCAGCCACAGAAAGCCATGTATATAATTTCACTTAGTCATTTATATGTAATATCCAGATAGGCAAATCCCTAGAAATAGAAAGTAGATTAGTGTTTGTCAGACACTGGGGAGAGGTAAATGAGGAGTGACTGCTAATGGATACAGGGTTTCTTCTGGGGGTGATGAAAATGTTCTCAAATTAGATTATGGTGATGGATAGTTGCACAGCTCTGTGAATATATTAAAGAACACTGAATTATATAATTTAAATGGGTGAATTTTATGAGATATATATATATATAAATAAAATATCTCAATACAGCTGTTAAGAACGTATAGAGGTAGGCAGGAATTTCATTCTGTCTAATTAAATAGAGTGAAATATAATTATCCTGAAGGACAATTTTTAGAAAAGTTATAAATATTGATTCAAACATTAACCAAATTTTTAAAGAGCTTTTTGTTTGTTTCTCATATTTGTTTATTTAAATTTTTACATGAAAAAAATATGATTGCTGGTGAATTCCATCAAACATTTAAGGAAGAAATAATATGAATTCTACAAAAACTCTTCCAAAAAATGGAGGGGAGGTACTTCTTTCCAATTCATTCTGTGAGGCCAGCATTACTCTGATACCCAAACCAGACAAAGACATTAGAAAAAATGAAACTACTGACCAATATCCCTCATGAGCCTAGAAGCACAGTCTTAAACAAAACTTCAGCAAATTGAATACAACAATATATAAAAAGAATAACATATCATAACAAAGTTGGGCTTATCCCAGGAATACGAAGTTGATTTAACAGTCAAAAGAAATCAATGTAACACCTCATACTAACAATTTAATACACACACAAACATATATGATCTCAATAGATCCAGAAAAGTCATTTGACACAATTCAACATCATTCCTTATTTTTTAAAACTCTCAGCAAAACAGGAATCAAAGGAAGCTTTCTCACCCAGATGAAGAACAACTATGGAAAACATAGGTAGTATCATATTTAATGGTGAAAAACTGAATGATTTCCCCCTAAAGTCAAGTAGAAGACAAGAGTGTTCATTCTTGCCACTTCTTTTTGACATCATACTAGAGGTTCTGACCAGTGTAATCACGCAGAAGTGAAGGAAGGAAGGAAGGGAGAGACTGAGAGAAGGAAGGAAGGAAGGAAGGAAGGAAGGAAGAAAAGGCATCTGTACAGGAAATAAAAAAGTCAAACTGTCTTTATTCATAGACAACTTTGAAAGTCTATGTAGAAGATCTGATAGAATCCACAAAAAACTGAGTTTATCAGGTTGCAGGCTATAAGATCAATATACAAGGAGCAATTTTATTTTTATATGTTAGCAATGAACAATCAAGAATTTAAATTTAAAGATCAATGCAGTTTGTGATAGCACTTAGGGATCAAAAGCACTTAAGGATAGTACTTAGGCATAAATAGGAATAAAGCTGACAGAATATGTGCAAGACCGAAAACTACAAAACATGGCTTAGATAATTGAAGACCTTTAACTAATACACCCTGTGCCTGGATTAGAAGGCTCAATATTTTAAAGAGGTCAATTCTCCCAGAATCTATAGATTGGTTCAATGCAATCTTAATTAAAATCCCAGTTTGCTTTTCTGAATAACTTGACAGGCTGATTCTAAAATGCATATAAAAATGCAAAGGACCTAGAATAGCCAAAACTACTCTGAAAAAGAACAAAGTTGGTGACTAATGCTATCTGATTTCAAGTCTTATTATAAAGCTACAGTGATTAAGACAATGTGGTATTGGCATCAAGATAAACAGATCAGTGGAACAGAATAGAGTCCAAAAATAAACCCACATATATGAACAACTGATTTTTGACAAAAGTGCAAAGGCAATTCAGTGGAGAAAGGATTTTTTTTAAATAAATGATGCTGAAACAAGTGGTTATCCATATGCAAAAAATCCCAAAACACAAAACTTCAATCTAAACCTCACACCATACACAAAATTGAACTCAAAATGGATCAGAGACCTAAATGTAAACCTAAAGCTATAAAGCTTTTCAAAGAAACATATGAGAAAATCTCTATGACCTTTGGTTAGGAAATAGTCTCTTAGATACAACACCATAAGCACAACTCAGAAAAAAATAAAAGACTTCATGGAAAATAAAAACTTTTGCTCTTCAAAAGAGACTGTTAAGAGACTGAAAAGACAAGCTACTGGGAGAAAATATTTGCAAAGCATATTTCCCATAAGAGACTTACATCCAAGATATATAAAGAACACTCAAAACTTAATAATAAACAAACAACCCAATTGAAAAAAAAGCAAGAGATTTGAGCAGACATTTCACCAAAGAAGACACATGGTTCACAAATAACCACGTGAAAAGATGGTCAACGTCAGTAGTCATTAAGGGTTTTATTGCAAATTATAATGTGATATGTATTGGCAAGGATGTGAAAGAACTGGAATTCTCATAACCCTGATGATGGAAATGTAAAATGATACAGCCACAAATGAGTTTGGCACTTTCTTAAAAAGTTAAATGCACAGATGCCATATGATCCAGATATTCCATCTCTCGGTATTTACCCAAGATAAAAGAAAGTGTGTGTTCTTACAAAAATTTGTACATGAATGATTACAGCAGCTTTATGTGTAGTAGCCAAAAAGTGGAAACAACTCAGATATCCATCAACAGGTGAATGGACAAATTTGTATATATTCGTACCATGGAATACTACTCGTTAATAAAAAGAAACGAACTGTTGCTGTAACAAAATGAATGAATCTCAAAAGAATTTTGCTGAGTAAAAGAAGCCAACCCAAGAAGAGCACTCATGATTCCATTTATACAAATCTTAAGAAAATACAAACTGATCTGTATTGACAGAAAGCAGGTCAGTACTTGCTTGAGGAAGGGGAGAGTAAAGAGGGGTAGGAGAGAGGGATTACCATGGGGCAAGAGAACATTTGCCTGGTGATGGATATGTTCACCATCCTGACTGAGGGGATGGTTTCACATGTGTATACATATGTCAACATTTAACAAATTGTATGCTTTAAAGATATACAGTTTATATCATTTTCTTCAATAAAGCTGTTTCAAAAAACCTCACTGAGTGAAAAGTGTAATTATCTTCACCATCCTTATTGGCATCTGCTGTAATAAAAATCTTATTTTACAATGGTCTGTTGATCACAAGGCAAAGTGATTTCTTTTTCTTCTTCCTTGGAATAGCTGAACATATAGGAGAATCAATAAATTAGGAAACTTTAAACCTAGAGCCATAGGCTTTAAAGAATTTTAACCTGGAATATTCCTTGTGTTAATGATGATATTAATGTAGTTAAATTGAGCAAAACATTCCTAATCCTGAAAGCTTAAAATTAGGGTTCTTATCAAAATACACATACATGATGTCAGTGCAAATCCCCCAACCATTTATGAAGTTATTTTGACATATACCAATCTATTTTTCCATTCAGACATTTTAAGTAAGCCCTTTTAGTGTGGGGAGGGTTGTAACTTTTTCTGTAAGGTGAGTGGAAGCTATTCCATGGCTACATTTCCTACTAGCGAAGAAAAGAATTTTGACGACAAATGGATAATTCAAGAAAATACGTTTCATTTGGTAAATGAATATCAGATTAGTAGGGTTTAATATGGATGTTTATCTTTGACTTTTTTCCTCTTTGATTCTAGCATTCTCAATATAAAGTTCAGCATTTTAGTCGTGATTCTACTTCAGGCTAATTATCTTGGTTGCAGAGTTCATGATTGAT